TCTGCCAGCCTGTTCAACATCGTCGTCTCGGCCAACAATGGCTCCGTCACGGCCAACGTCGCCGCCGTCGTCTCGGTCGAGGGCAAGGCCATCTTCGACGTCGCCCTGCGCGTCTACGGCTACGAGTACATCCGCAAGACCATCGACCCGTGCACCGCCAACCTCCAGGGCCTCTGCCCCATGAAGCCCGGCAAGATCGACATGGAGTTCTCCTTTGAGCTCGGCGACGCCCTCGACGCCGTCCCCGACATCGCCTACACCATCCCCGACCTCGACGCCACCATCCGCGCCCTCGTCAACCTCACCGACACGGGCGAGACCGTCGCCTGCGTCGAGGCCGACTTCTCCAACGGCAAGACGGTCAACCTTAACGGCGTCAAGTGGGCCACGGCCGTCATCGCCGGCCTGGGCCTCGGTTCCGCCGGTATCATCTCCGCCATGGGCCACTCCGACGCCGCCGCCCACCTCGCCGCCAACGCCCTCTCGCTGTTCGGCTACTTCCAGGCCCAGGCCTTCCTCGGCCTCAGCGGCGTCGACATGCCCCCCATCGTCCAGGGCTGGACCCAGAACTTCCAGTGGTCCATGGGCATTGTCCGCCTCGGCTGGATGCAGACCCTGTGCACCTGGTACCAGCGCGCCACCGGCGGCGAGGCCGCCCGCCTGCTCGACGAGGTCCGCTCCGTCTCCGTCCAGGTCTCCAAGACCAAGCGCTCCCTCGACGTCGTTGAGGCCGTGCGCCCCGCCGCCGCCGCCGCCGTCGCCCGCGGCGGGCCCCTCCGTCGCGGCCTCGCGGCCCTCGCCCGCCGCTCCAACATCAAGCTCGAGAACGGCTCCTTCCTCGTGTTCGGCATCCAGCGCGTCGCCTTCAAGTCCCGCATCGAGACCACCAACCTCTTCCTCACCGGCCTCATCGTCTACTGCGCCTTCGTGCTCTTCACCGTCCTCGGCGTCGCCGCCTTCCGCTACGGCACCGAGATCGCCGCCAAGAACAACTGGACCAAGCGCGACCGCTTCGCCGAGTTCCGCCGCGACTGGAAGACGACCCTCAAGGGCATCCTCTTCCGCCTCTGCCTCATCGGCTTCCCCCAGATCACCGTCCTGTGCCTCTGGGAGTTCGTCCAGGCCGACTCGCCCGCCCTCGTCGTCCTCGCCGTCGTCTTCTTCTTCGGCACCATCTCCACCCTCTTCTGGGCCTCCTTCAAGGTCATCCGCATCGCCAGGCAGTCCATCCTCACCCACCAGAACCCCGCCCACGTCCTGTTCTCCAACCCCGCCATCATCAACAAGTGGGGCTTCCTCTACGTCCAGTACCGCGCCTCCGCCTACTACTTCATCATCCCCTTCATCGGCTACATCTTCATCAAGGCCGCCGTCGTTGCCTTCGGCCAGGGCTCCGGCCTCGGCCAGGCCGTCGCCCTCATGCTCACCGAGGCCGCCGCCCTCATCGGCGTCAGCGTCCTCAAGCCCTACATGGACAAGCCCACCAACTCGTTCAATATCTCCATCTTCGCCATCAACTTCATCAACTCCGTCTTCCTCCTCGTCTTCACAAACGTCTTCAAAGCCCCCGGCATCGTCGTCGGCTCCGTCGGCGTCGTTCTGTTCGTCGTCAACGCCTCCTTCGCCCTTGTCCTCCTCCTCATGGTCATGGTCTCGAGCATCCTCGTCTTCTGGCGCGTCAAGGGCCAGCCCACCACCCAGCCCTCCCAGCTCAACGACCCGGCCGTCACCGGCAAGGGCGACCGCACCGAGAACAAGGGCCTCCTCGACCTCGAGGAGGAAGACGCCACCAACAGCCGCAGGGAGTCGCTGCGCTACGGCGAGAAGGCCATGGAGAGCGGCATGGCCCACGGCGCCCCTTACAAGCCGCCTGCCGCCGGCGACGGGGATAACCACGAGCTCTCGGTGCTCCCGTCCGCCGGCGCCAGGCCCGCCGTGAGCCCGTCCGTGCCCATGTTCCCCGCCGACCCGTCCATGCGGCCCCGCACGCCCGTCACCGTCTCACCGCACACCCAGCCGACAAGTCCCTTCGCCAACCAGATTGGACAAAATATGCACGAGTTCCGGTTACAAAACAATAACAGGTGAGACTTCCTGTTCCTCTTCTTCCCTTCATCATCCCTGCGCCCTCGCTAACATTACATCTAGTCCATGGCAACGCGGAGCTGGATATGACGATCATTAAGGTCAGGCACGGAGGCCCGGCGGGCGGGCCGACGAGAAATAAAAATAAAAAACCGTCCTTCCTTTTGTCGCATCACCTCGGTTTCCTGGTCAACCTACTGGCGATCCATCCCACATTTAGACTCATTTTCCCGTCAGGCGTACTCGGGGGTTGATTGCGGGTGGTGGTGGGTAGGGGGGGTGGTTTCCTGGGCATTGCTCACTCTTTTATGTTTTTTTTTTCTTTTTCTTTTCCCACTTCAACCAAGCGTGCATAATCCCAGCGGATCATCAAAGCCCCAAGTTAGATAATTGACAAAGATCTAATGTTCATTCACGTGCGCGCGCGCGTTTCTCAGTTATGGATGCTGCTCTCTTGGACACATGGCCATGGCACAGAGAGCTGGGGTTAACCTTATGCGCACCGGAGGTGTTAGGAAGTGTGGCGGCAAAGAAGAAAGCAAAAGATATCTCTGGCTTGACGATTTTTATCAAGCGTATGTGTCTCTCACGGCTGAGTCCAAACTCATAAACCTTTGCTTATGATCGCCATTCGGTTTGGAGGGGGAAAAAAAGAAAAGAAAAACTGGTCTCTGATAATCTACCTACGCCTCCCCCCCATCCCCCCCCCTTTAGCTCGTTTGTAACTCCTCCGGAAAGGTAGCCTCCGGCCGGCTATCGTACGGAATCATTCCCACCATGTTGCCTCCCTGCCCTCCGGTCCTCGGAAATCCGGCTGCCTCCCCCTTTTCCCACCGCACGCGGCAGCCGAAAGTCCAGGTTCCGGATGCGGTCGAGGGGGACGACCTCACCCAGACCGGCCCCGGACAGCTGGCTGAGCTGAACGCCCCTCACGTGACGTCCTCCACCCCGGCGCCGCAGTCCCGCAAGACAGACGTCTTGGAGGCCCCTGCGAGCGAGCAGGGCTCCTCGGCCTCGAAGAAGGGCGGGACATCGACCGTCGGCTGGAAGTCGTCGGGCCGGGTGGGCAGATAGGCCTGGTACAGCGGCCGGGTTGGCATGGCGACTGATTCGGTGCGGGATCGACGACTTCGTGCTGGTTTCGTTGAACGATGCAGCCGCCAACACACTTACTTCAATTTACTGCATGGAGTCAGAATAGATTATTCCATCACATGAGCGCCACGCCAGCCCCCCTCCCTTCCAATACTAAACCGGTATCGCTACTTTTAAGATGAGTTCGCTTACAAGTTGGTATGGTGTGGGGCAGTCTAGCTCTTCCCATGATTCTCATGAACCAAGGCTGAGTATTGAGGACTCGGACCCAGAAGGTCGCAATCGTACTCAAAAGCGTCTTTCGATTCAGTCGTGGGAAAGCAATCCGTCGAACCCTTCCATGTCCCTGCGCCTTTCAGCTCAAACAACATCCGCATCACCTGCAAGTTCTCGTCGCGCTCCCATCTCTTCGCTTTCCGTACCCCAAGCCCTGTTATACGCTGCAAGACCTGCGTGACAGACTCCAATAGGTATGAAAAGGCAATAAAGAGGGAGCCCAGGCCCAAAAGCAGAGAAAGTCCCACGACAGAGAAGTTGATCGTCCCTTGCGAGCTCTTGGTCTTCTGCCTGTGGCACATATCCTCTTGTGCAGCACGATACTCTGCTTGAGCTCTGGACGAAGACCCGGCAGACTCCCAGGCTTTTTCGATGGTGCCCTCCACTACCAAAGATGGCCCCGTAACGTACTCAAGCATGTAATGCTGCATTTTGGATAGGTTGTCGGCAAACAGGGATGCCATCTCAATCTGCCACTGGTTGGACGGCAAAGGTAATTGCGTAAGGTCAGCAACGAGCTCCTGTGCCTTTAGGAAGCTCTGCGTGCGCGTCCAGATCAGGTGTTGAAATGTCGAAGCCGCAAAGTACAGCCCCATGCGGTCTACAGTCGCCAGCTGAACCGGATTGAGATCAATATCTTTACCTCTGGCATTTTGCAAAGTTTCCGTGCCGCCTTGACGTGAGGTGCAGAAGCCGTTATTGGGGTTGCAGATCCGATGCCTGTCTGCGCAACCGATGGGACTGACGTAACGGTCGGGCCTGTAGACTGTGTCGCCGTCGCCTAGTTCGACCGGAATACTGGCTCCAAAAACAGGGTCGTCGTTTTGCTCGATGTGGATGACCGAGTTAGGCGCAATGAGTAACAATGTGACGTCTCTGTGGTCGAGGAACAGAGCCTCCGCCGGTTGCCAAATCGTGCCATTATTACTGGCTAGAGCGTGGATGGACCATGTAGAATACCCGGTTTTCATGCTTTCCCCATACGTGTTGTAGATGTAAGTGTAATTGTCGGAGTTCACATTTCCGTAAAAGTATTTGATGAGGACATTGTCGTCCCAGCCGAACTCCTGCGTCTCACTCCCGTTCACGAACCTCGAAAAACCGCGTTGGGTGATGAGAGGAGAGCACTCCGTCTCTCGCTGATAATAAACTCGATTGTGTTGAGGCTGATTGATGCCTAGATGTTTATGGGAGTCGATCAACTCTGTCTTCATTCCGAAAGATCTGTTTCCCATGCAGACGGTATCTGCGAATGGACACTCAACGGACTCGTTAGTCCAACGGATTGAAGGGACGGGTAGGGTGCTGCACGATGCAGGTGACGAATCTCCATAGCACTGCCAAGCGTAAATCGAAGCGAGCGAGTTATCGTAGGCGCTCTTTTGTTGGAGTGCGTCTCGGTCTTGGGGCACAAATATTCCGCATGCCGTAGGGGCCAGTAGTCGGTATTCGGTGGCACTGTCAGATATGTTGGAGGAGAATACGGCAGCAAGTCCAAGAAGACAGGCATAGAAAACGCCGAAAGCCGCCCAAGGGATTGTTCTGAGGATTGGGCGTCTGGCGTGTCCTCGCCAGTGCCATGCCTGTTGAAAAAACAGCCATGTGGCGGCTACAGGGGCGGGGATGTTCCGGAGGATGAACTGCCGCTGATAGTGCAACCCGTCATGTTTGCCATCGCATGAGAGTATCTGGTGGCATATGAAGGTGATAACACGCCAAAGTCTTGTAGAAATTATCGTGACGAATATTGCGATGAAAGCAAGAAGGAGAGCGCCATCGCGGGCAGATAGCGTGACTGTTGCGCCGCTGACTCTTCCAAGGCTCCAGTCAGTCCAAACACCAGTGTAAATCTGATAAGACATATTCCGATAACGATTATTTCAGACCGGCGCTAGCTGTTGAGGATATATCTTGAACAACGCTGCCGGGCATGCTGTCGTTCCGGGAGCTTCCTAGGAAGAAGGGGGGGAGAGGGGGAAAGGTGTGTTTCCTTAAGTTTGAAAGTAACCATGCCGGGGCTGCATGTTCATCTCGGGTTAATATGACAGAAGAGCTCGAATGGATCGGCCAATGAGGTCCCTACAAATGTTTGATCAGATGTTTTCATCTAACAGCATGCCACAAGAGTGCATGATCCTGGAGGCAGCGTTTCGTGCCGAGCCGCGATCGTTGAAAGCTGAACTGGTGCTTCAGCCACCGCTTTGCCAAGTCATCTTGGCAGCGGAGGTTAGCCCAATGGAGCGTACACATATAATTCAAGCCTTTTCCTGAAGGAGACGAAGTTTGTAGATCATTTACCAGATAGGACGTTGGATCATTAGGCCTCTAGCTTGGCATGTCGCCCGAATCCTACATTAAAAGCGTAAACATACACCGCCAGGTTGCGCCAAACCTCAGAGTTAGAAACAAGCAAGAGTCAAACAAACGACTTTTGTCCGTCTTGTGTCAATAGATATTCGCTACCAATCGCTTTTATAGGTAAAGGACATAGGAACTTCACTGGCACAAGAAGCCGACTCGAGCGGCTTGAATAGCTTGGTAAGGGCTTACTTCTACAGTGGGGACCCAAAAGTCTCGGCCCAAACCCCCACATACGCGTCGCGTCGCGCTTCCATTATCACATACCTCCTCCTTCTACCTCCTTAACCAAGACCAAAAAATAGCTGATTTATAGCAGCTTTCTTCTCTTTTATCAAAAAATTAAAGTAATAACCATAAGTTATCAGAATTACAGTAAGTAGTAATTATAGTAGTTATAAGAGCTAGTTTTATATACTGCTAGGCTACTAAGGTCTTTAGCTACTCTAAGTATACTATAACTAACACACTTTACTAGTTCTATTAAAACTACACTATTAAGAGCCAGCCTTAAAAAGGGCGCCTAGAGATTCTATTAAGGTAAAATAAAAGGTCTATTATTTACTTAGCCTAGAATTACTATTAGTAATTATACTAGAGCCTTACCTAAGCATAAAAAAGTAAGGTTAACCTTAACACTATTAAAAGGGTCTTAAAGTAGGCTAACTTTTATAAATAGTGTATAATAAAGAGGCTATTTATTATAAAAGAAGTAGTTGCCTAGAGGCTTACTTTTGCCTATAAGTAGCTTCTAAAATATAAGGAGTTAATAATAGTATTTATACTTTTGTTTATATACCTCCTAGAGATCTTTTTACTAATTTTAAGTCTTCTTAGACCTAGTTCTCTAATAAGTCCTCTTATTAAAATAATACCTTTTATCTCTCTGCTTAGGTATTTAGATTACCTTATAAACGCTAAAATAAGTAATTTATTAACCTTATAAGTTATATAAAGGTAAATATCTTAGTAATAGTCTAAAGAATAGTTTAAAAGAAAGGTTAAAGTAAGCTAACCTTTCTTATAAAAGACTTAACCTTATAAAAGTAAAGATATAGTGCTAATAGCTATATTTTATACCTTTAGAGAGAATATCTTTTTAACTAAGATAATATATACTATTTTATATATAATAATACCCTTATTTATAATACTTCTTAGATAGTAGAGTAAATATTACAACAGGGGATCTCCTAGCTAGATTAGCCTCCTTACTTACTAGACCTAAACCTAATTAAGTACATCTAGTAGATAATAAAAAGTAATCTATAAAGGCTATACCTAGAAGTATTTACTTTAAGGAAGAGTAAGTTAGATATTAGTAGATTTAAGGAGCAGTTACAGGTAGTATAAGAAGCTATCCCTTAGGAGAAGATATAAGCCCTTATCTAGTTATTACTTAACTAACTAAGGGCTATTATCTACAGAGTTCTAAAAAAAAATACAAGGTTTCTATACAAGTGTTAAGACCTTTATAGTGTAGTAAAAAAGTATTAGTAATTATATAGGCCTATATAAGCTATATAAAAATAAAGTAAAATAAGGTTTAGATAAAGCTTTTTTTTCTTAATTTATTAATATTTTTATTTCCTTTTTAGGAAATAGCCCCGCTTTTCTATTCTAGTTTTAAGAAATCTATTTTTAGTATAGGCACTAACATGTATTGTATAGTGCTAGGCAAAAAATACAATACAAATACAAGTTGTATTTACTAGTATATCTTAGTATATAATTACTAAAAATAGAAACTATATTAGATAACCCTTGTAATAATTTTAAGATCTATAATATGTATTAATTATATAATTTAATATTTATAACTTAGTCTAAAAAGCCTTGTATTTTAAAAAAAATACAAATTCTATACAAAATACACTTTTAAATCTCTGATTATCTAGGCATATGGCTAGTATACACGTTACTAAAGAGCAAACTTTAAGCTTTATTTTTACTATAGTTTTACTATAGTAAAGTAAAAATTAATTATTTTGTAGCTAGTTAAAGATAGTAATAAAATAGAGGTGGTTGGTGAAAGTGCGCTTGGGCTAAGACTTTTGGGTCCCCACTGTAGTTATATATGATAATAAAAGTGGGCTTGTAATCGCCATCGCGTAATTACGGCGTAACATAGGCTGTATCACAACACACCCACAGGTTTTCCAACGCCACTCGTCGGAAGGCTAACACTTTAGAACTTCTGTTTAGGTACATATAGCTAATAGTAGGGCGGCAGAAGCCCGCGTGCTACGTTGCTTGAATTTATGCCCCTGGCTCTCGACAGAATTCTGTGCGATCCGCACCTGAACGTTGGCTGAACTCACGATTCATGTGCTCACGGTTGCTGATGGAGTTATCTCTTAATATATCTCATATGCGCCCTTAGCCAGATTGCTTAGCACACTTGGCAACCGCTATTTGGCTATTCACGAAGCAAACCATGCAGATCCCCGACGGCCCGCTTGTAGCCTGCTTGTACGTTTCATACTTTAGCGAATCATTGTGTGCCAGGATGTCTATGTAACTATGTCAACAATTGAACAGATACATCATGTAGTCAGCATCGCATAATCACGCAATTCGTGAGCCAAGCATAGATCCAAGGCCATGCTCGGGACGAGATGGTGCAGCAAGGGGGGGGCGTTGTCTATACCCCGCACCCCGTAAAGGCGTCAGTTCATATTCACATGGACCTGCTAAATAGAGCAAAGATCGTTGGGCTATTACAGTGACGTGCAGACAGTCCCAAGTCATGTAGGTAAGGGGGAAATTATTGGTTGACTTCAGAGTGTCTGTATGTCACTGAACATTTGTTGATATATTGCGAGTGAGCCAGACGGTTTTCTTTTACTTGTTGCCCTATTCAAACCTCGAAGAGAGTCGCAAGTACAAAACCTCTACGTAGTTATTGTCCTTACCATTCAGATACCAGAGCTGAGAATGCTTTTACCGACCGGACTGCCATTTGGGGCCGCTTATTCTTCAATTATCTGGATCATCCCAACTCTCATCCTAGCATACAAGGTCTTCACATTTGGTAGCAGAGAGAAACATCTCCCGCCTGGCCCACCCACGGTCCCCATCCTTGGAAATGCGCACATAATTCCAAAAAGGGGGTTTTTCTCCAAGTAAGTCATTAAATCCAAACTGGGGAACCCGCACTTACATGCTCTAGGCTCAAGGAGTGGAGCGACCAGTACGGCTCCGTTTATTCACTCAAAATTGGGCGAAGTACCATGATCGTGTTGAATGACAGACGTGCCGTCCACGAGCTCTTGAGTCAGAAGGGTGCCTGGTATAATGACAGACCAAAAGATCAGCAGATGCTCGTCGTAGCGCGGGAAGAGAACATAGCTCTGATGCACGAAAGCCCTAAATGGAGGGCAGAGCGAAAAATCTCTTCTTTATATTTCTCGCCCAAGAGGCTAGACTCTGATATGAAACCTGTGCAGGAAGCTGAGTACGTTATAACTCCGGTCAAAAGCTTGGTTTAAAGTCAAACAACACACGCGCTAATGTGATGTAGAGTTGCACGTCTTATGTCCGACTTGCTGGAAAAGCCTGAAAAGTTCCAAGAGTACATAAAACGAACTACGGCGTCAGTCGCAAGCATCACAATCTATGGGCACCTTGCACCTGACTGGGGGAGCTTCTGGGCATATGTGCGTCGTACTCGCTTGAAACTAATTAACTTGACTAACATGACTAACAATGCTAGGCGGTGTACATAGCTATGGAAGCTGTATTACCACCTGAGTTCTCTACCTGGTCATCTGCCAGAAACTGACATCGTAACAGATATCAAAAGCTCTTGAGCCAGGTACTTACCCACCAGTGGACCAATTTCCGATCCTCAATCTGATCCCTGATCGCTGGAACAAACCAAAGCAACGCGGCAAGGAGTTTTATGTTACCATGACTGATATCTGGAACGAGGCTCGCGGTCGCGTAGAGACGCGCCGCAAAAACGGCGACAAGCGCGATTCCCTTCTCGATAAACTTCTAGAGGAGGAGATTAAGTGCGATGTTCCGTTAAGCTACACGGAATTGAACAACTTCCTCGGAGGCCTCCACATGGGTGCCTCTGACACAACAGCTACTGCAACGCTCACATCAGTTCTCTTCCTCGCGAAGCATCCAGAATTCCAAGAAAAGGCACAAGCTGAACTTGATCGTGTGTGTGGAACTCGGAGGCCTCCTAAGTGGGCTGACTTCAATGACTTGCCGTATATAAACTGCATCGTCAAAGAGGGGCTACGAATCAGACCAGTGTAAGAATTTTATATTCCAACCCTTTTATCCCATGCTCATTAGGTCATTACTTAGGATTCCTGGGGGCATTCCGCATTGCGCGAAGCAAGACTATTGGTTCGATGGCATGCTTATCCCAGCTGGCAGCACCATCATTGTCCCACCGTACGCGCTCAACCACAGCAGCGATTCGTCGTCAAATCCTTCTGCCTATAACCCAGACCAATTCATGGATCGGGCGAGCAAGCTCGCACCTGAACTCGCCGCGGCTTCAAGATACAAGGAGCGTGATCACTACTCTTACGGGGCCGGGCGGCGGATCTGTGTTGGTTTACACTTGGCTGAGAGGACACAGTGGCGCATCATAGCTCAAATTCTGTGGGCATTCAGGATTGAGCCCGATGTGGGAGCAGATGGGAAGCCTATAGCGTTGGATACGAGCTATGATGCATATGAGGAAGGATTCTTGCATACACCAAAGAATTACAGCGTGCGTTTGGTCCCGAGAAGCGAGAGGCATGCCGAGGTTTTGAAACAAGAACTTGCGAATATTGGTGGGTTTTTGCAGCGGTGGGAGTAAGCCGGGCATCAAAGAGCTTGTCTGTGATTATGTTCAGATTGGAAACTCTACACCCCTAGCGTTTTTGATTTTTACGCATCCTTCTTGAATTTCGGCAGGCAAGAATATTCCCATGTTAGTCTTGGTGTTCAAACTTTTTAGATCATGTGCTTCTCAATTAAGGGTACTTCAGGGATGGGTTTTCTGCCTCTATCTCGATGGGTCTCCTTCTGAAACTCTTACTCGGGCCTGTTATGATAAAAAAAAAACTTCTTTGCTAAAGAAATCTACCAGTTGATGTAAGGTGAAGCGTAATGGACGTCACGTCGTTGCCGACGAGGAATATACAAGCCCCTGCTAACAAATAGACCAAGAAAACGATTTTCAGTTGAGACCAGCAATTATCGATAACCGCCACTAAACTACTCAAAGCCACGCGCCAACTCCATTGAAGTTAAGTATCATAGGATCATTTAGGGACGTCAATGATAACAGCAACAAGTTAACTGAGTGCATGAGTCATGCTCATCTGGAAGTCCGTCGAAAGCAATACAGAGAATCCGTAACGAGAAAATGCCATGGAATTGGTGCCCAGTAAGTACCTAATCACGTGTCCAAATTATTCGTGGCCACCACTCAGTAAATCTTAACGACGTCCGGCGTGGCGGAAGGGGCTGTTGAGATGTTGGATGTAGTTCGAGGACATCGCTTGGGAGTGCCGGCAAAGTCGCGCGGGGCAAGGGCCGCGGCCGAGCTTCCCCGCGGCCGAAATTCTATTCTTATCTCGATTAACTTGTTGGTATCAGGGTGGAGAGGCCGATATGCAAAGCGCCCGAAGGCTCAAATGTCCGACTTCGGAGTCTTTACGCAACTCAAAACTGACAGTACTTGCTCAGCTAATATTGCACTAATTCATGCCGTTGACCAACTGCCCAAAGCACCAAAGGCGACATTGCAGAATCCCGTCATCATGTTGACTCGCCATGACCCGATACTGATTGTAGGCAGTGGCACCTTCGGGCTTTCGACGGCGTACCATCTCGTCAAAGCTGGGTACACATCCGTCACTATCCTCGAACAAGGCACGTCAGTTCCCTCGACACTTTCGGCAGGCAACGATGTGAATAAGATCGTTCGCGCCGAGTATGAGGATCCGTTTTATACCGAGCTTGCTTTACAAGCCATGGCGGAATGGAACAACAACCCGGTTTTCTCACCACACTATCGCCAGACCGGGTACTTGCTAGCCAACTCTGCAGCAGCACCTGAAAAAACCAAGCGGACTCTTCAGAAATCCCTTGAAAGTATCAGAGCACACCCGGCGTGGGCAGGCAGAATCGTACCAGTAAGGAGCAGAGATGATATTACCCAGGCTGCCCCTGCATTAGACGGGCCCATGCAAGGTTGGGAAGGGTATTTCAATTCTTTCGCGGGCTATGCGCATGCCTCAAATACACTCAAGGCTCTCTACGAGTATGTGAAAGATCGTGGAGTCAATGTTTATACAGGAGAAGAGGTCGCTAGTCTTGTGTACGACAACGATCGATGTGTAGGTGCTCGCACGGTGTCTGGAAAAGAATACAAGGCAACAGCAACAATCCTGACACTGGGTGCCTCGCTCGGAAAGGTGCTCCCCACTGTTCGGCGACAAATCACGGCAAAAGCTTGGAGCGTTCTGCACATCCAACTTCGACCGGAAGAAGCAGAGCAACTGAAAGGAATTCCCGTCACATATGCTCGGGACCTGGGTTTCTTTTTCGAGCCCGAACCGGGCACCGGGATACTGAAGCTGTCTCCAAGTGGTGGAGGGTACACGAACTATTCAATAGCCACCGGCCTATCTCTCCCGCCAAAGAACAACGACTTTGTTCCGGAGGCGGATCAGCAGAGAGTACGCAGACTCTTACAAGAAACACTCCCCAGTCTGGCAGACAGGCCTTTTGTTGATCAGCATATCTGCTGGTGTGCTGACTCCGCGGACTCGGATTATGTCATTGATGCTGTGCCAGGGAGTAAGGGCTTGTTTGTTGCAACTGGTGACTCGGGCCATGGGTTCAAAATGCTGCCTGTGGTTGGAAAATGGATCAAGAGCCTCATAGAAAAGGGATCACAGGAACTACCTCGATGGAGATGGAAGGAGGGAAGCGATGCTGGGCAAAATGTGAGCTGGAGGGCCGGAGAAGTGCTGGACTTGAAAAAGCTTGGATTCAGCCCTAGACTATGATGAGGTATCCTTCGAATTGAGTGCTATGTTGCCATGGAATTTTCATTTGTGATGGTACTGGTATGGTGACTTGCATAAAATCTTGGAGACGATTACTTTACGCTTTGTTCGTACTTGTCTTGTTTCAGATGCATTCGATTTGACTGACGTCAGCAATACATAATAACGGTGTATCCCAAGTCGAGGGGCGAAATTTCACGTGGTGATGAATTCTCCAAACGCCTGAACTATTTTAGTCAAAATAGACTGCGTCATGACTGCTTGGGGTGTGTGGATATACGCGAATGATGTGTTATGGATCCTGTCGAGTTGACCAGAATCCGATTCTTATAGTATGACTTGCATCCCCCTCCATTTCAAGTATCATTTCTTCTGCACATTATTCAATCCTTCCGATACACGCCGGCACTCTGACCGCTTTCAGTACCAGTCTCAGAATGGCTACAGACTCTGCTCATGTCAACTTCCCCGGCAAGACCTCTGCCACGCCAGGCGAAGAATTTGAAGTCCGTCAAACTTCAACTTCGGCGGACTACCATCCGGATCCCTCCAAGTCGCTTCCTCTCTCGGCTGCTCGTCAGGCCTTGGTTGATGACATTATAGCCCTTTATTCTATGGAACCCACCATTGACCGCGTGAAGCGTTATACGCCAGACTGCGTGTATGACGACCAGTTCGTCTACGCCAACGACCGATATAAGATGGCTGGACAGTGGTTTGCCTTGCCAAAGCTCTTCAATGCCAGCAAAAATGAGGGTTATGAGATCGTTAAGAATGATCGCGATCTGATCCAGTTCAAAAACGAGCAGAGCTGGACATTCAAACTGATCCCGAAAACGGCGACAATCAATGCTCTCGTTAGTCTGAGTTTGGATCCCGACACTGTCGACAGCGACTTTATCCAGATTAAGTATCACAAGGATCAAGCGAATGATAAGGATTATAGTCACGAGTAAGACATAATACGATGTTCTCCCGCATCGTTTCTTTAATATATTGCCGCTGATACTTCTCAGAGGAGTGGGATTCTCATTCAAGAAGTGGCAGGCCGACAATGTTGCCAAACATATGGACAGCAAGGAGGTCGAAGTGTTCATCGCAGACAAGGATGCTAGCAAGAACAAGGTCAAGAGGTATGGAACTGGTGATGCGAATGGAGATGCACCTACCAAGACCTTCTGAGATAACCAGGCCATAAGGTAAGGTGAAAGAACAGTAAACAAGCCTTCCTAAACGAGTCTGTGTACAATATCTGTAACGCGAAATAATAGTCACAAATAGTTACTTAACCTTCATAAAGCTTTTAGGGTTTCATCTGAAGGCGCAAAACTTCCCCGACTGATCATTCTAGGCAGATCATTCCAGTAGAATTAATGATATGATCATACAAATCTTTTGAAAGATTGACTATGATATGACCCGGGTTATCGAACTCAAAGTCGTCTGTAAGGACCAACTGGCCGCTCACCATGCTCATAATCGCAGACGTCCGTAGCCTTGTCATCAGCACCATAATCATTTCTCAACATTTACCAGGCGTGCAGCTTCAAATTTGAGGATGCCTTCCCTGTTACTGGCTCTATAACTCTTGATGTCAAACTCCATTATAATGCGTAGACCTCGAAGTTCCCATCTGCCGCTAATGGTGATTTGCAGATGATCGACATCCTGCATTTGAGAGACAGTACCCCTGCCGGCTCCCACCTCGGCATTGGCGCCTGGCTGCACGACTGGGTAATCCATCAAACGTACCGCTAGTTTTAGACCCGATGAGAAGAATTGCTGCAGGGAAGTACTCACGAGAAATCTCTTCATGGGAGAAACTCGCCCACGTACGCAACCAAAGACAGCGAAGGCGCTCAGGATGCAGAGAGCAGCAAGAGCCACATAGGAATTCATTGCCGGGGGTGACGCGATATCGTGCCTAGTCACAAAGACACACATGTGGATTGGCGCTTGAGACGTTTGGCATTCAGCCGTCAGCCCGGCAAACCATACCGGTAGTCTATCCCGGCGTCTTGGCGCCATTCCGCCATTGCCTGTGGGTCAGTCAGACATGGTTTCATTGAACAATAGGTTATCTGAACACATCGAGCCCCTCTTCGGCTGACGTTAGCCGTGTTATTGCATGGAAACACCAATAACTTCACTGCCATGGAAGACGATCCGCTAGTATATGTCTTGACCTTGGTGTTCGTATGCTACCTTCTACTCTACCCAGGTATGTTCTCAAAGTCTAATTGAATGCTAGTATTTAAGCAGTGGTCGTGAGTATTCTTCCCATGGAAAATATCCTTAGAAACTATCCATATCGTGCTAAATAATTAGTAACGCTAACCTATGCCTATAGACCCTTAGATTGTTGTATACGTCATTAGTTAGATTGCTACAGGAAAGATCAAGGACAAGCATAGACTATAAAGTAGATCAGCACTAGTAGGAACCTAAGTTACTGTTTATACAATCTTATTTAGTAAATCATATACCTAAAGCCTCTTCCAACTATTCTTGTCTAGCCCTTAGTATCCATCTCCTGTTCCTAGATAGCTAGCCTATAGTTCTCTCTCTGACACAGCAATCACTCAAGAGGGGCATTCTATTATTACATATAATAGTAGATTCGTGTAATTAACATGACGTCTAGTGGTTTATATACGCCGTCAATTTGTCTTGTACATGAGTCTAAAGACTCAAGCAGTTTCCGTTTCGGTTTATAGACGCCCGATTTGATTACAAATAGCAGAGTAACCCTGCTAGTATATAGTTCCTGCACCAGTAAAATTACCCTTCTGGGTCGTGAAGTTCTCGATGCTGCTAAAATCCTTCACCTTTCCGAGTAGGATCTCAAGCATGCGGTATGCGACGCCCGGGGTATACCCGGGTAACTCGTGGCCGGCAAGGCGAGAAGTATAGAAGGTTAATCCGCGCTCGGAGGTCCACACGCCCTGCAGTCCGGCACCGGCCATAGCGCCCTTGTTGTACTCTGGATGATATGGTGCGTAAAGAAGCTTCTTAGGGTATTCGGATAGCCCCTTCGCGCCGTTCCAGGTCATGTTCTGGATGACGAGGAGGGTGCCGTTCGTGTTGAGAAGCATGTCTAGATCACCGGAGCCAATTATGGTGTTGTTGGTATGTTCAATGACTCGCTGCAGAACACCGCCGGCAACAGGGTCGATGGAATCGTCGCCCGCATCGCTGCTATCGTTGCCCTTGCCAAAGACATTGATGTTGGTGCATTGCATCCAGTTGGAATCGAGGGGGGCGTGCAAGGCTTTTTTGACATCGGTGCGGTTGAAATAGACTTCCGTGCCAGGAGGAGAGTAATCGCCTTGGTTTACTATTCCGAGGTGAGCGTATGGTATCGGGCAGGTGTCGGTGATGTGGTAAATGTTGAAGCAGGGGTTGACTTCCAGGGCGGCACCGAAGATGTTGTCAAACATATCGCATTCGGCGGTTTCGGAGTCGTAGGGGTCAGGCAGGAGGGGGAAGGGCTCTTGCGGCGGCGGGAACTTGAAATACGTGTCGAGGTAGGAGGAGTAGTTGCAAGATTTGTGACGGTCCTGAGCCTGTTTAAGGAACGTGTCGTTCAAGGACATGAGGTTCTGCCAGTACTCGGCGTAAGGCATGGCAACGACTTGCTGCTGGAGGGTTTCGTCTCCCATGAGGGGGTCGTTGATTGAGACGCCCGCCAAGTTAAAGTATTCTGTGTCATTGGCCGAAATGAACCCATCCGCAATGTATGGGATGTAGTAGCCGGCATACGACTCTCCTGTGATATAGGTCTTCCAGTCATTTGTCTGGAAAGTGTCGACAAAATTCTTGTAGAAACCTTTGAACTCGGCGGCAAGCTCAACTTCATTGCTGATGTCGGGCACGCCCTGGGAGTAGCCAACGCCAACAGGCTGCTCAACCCACAGCATGTTGGTCAGATTTGTCCATGCGTAGGGGTTCTGGACAGGGGCGAGCGTGCCATCTTCCCAGGTGAAGACGCCATTCTCTGTGAAGAAACCGGAAAGTGATGAGCAACCAGGTCCGCCATTGAGCCTGTTCTAGGTTTAGTAAAATGACACGGATGATGCAAGGACTGCCATCTTACCAAATGGTAATCTCTTCAGGTGTTTCTTCAGCCGTTGAAGGGAAGAACCAGAAGAAAAGCTGGCGCGTCTCGTTGGGGTTATCGGAAATAGGAAGCAGTCCGGCATACGATTCGCCGATGTCAAAAGGGACATCAGGTAATCCGGTGCCGTTGACAGCGAAAGCTGGTGCGAGGTTAGCTCAGTGTCCTACGGATTGGCTTTCCAAGCCAACTAACGGTTGGTCTTGTCACGCAGAAAGCGAGAGGCCGGCTTTGGTGGCTCCGGGTGCGGTAACGGCTGGTCAGCCACAGACCTCTTGACCACAGACCTGGGAAGTATAGGTCTGGGCCTGGTGGTTCTCTTGAAAGCACCCGCAGAGGAGACGCAGAGCAACCCACAGACAAGGTTCAGGAGCTTCATCTTTGGCCAAACTGAACGGAAGGAAGGAGCAGGTAGACCAACCACCTATGCCCCAAAGAGCGTTCGAGAACCAGCTTTTAAACGTTTTGATTTATCGCGGCACTTGGACCAGGCACTGACATGGGACAGACAGGGTTACGTAGCTGAGGCCGTCCCTTCGCAAGGTGGGACGGGTACACGGCGGTACGAGGGCACAGTAGGAAAACGGAGCACAGGCGGAGATTGCCACCGTGCTTCATGAGAGGTTTCTTGTTGCGGGAAACGCGTCACGGTCGAGTCATCTAAAAGCCTTAAACTTCCGATGGCGGAACAACAGTCGACTCTCATGATCTGGATTCATGGTAAATGGCTCAGATTCAGTCTATTGAATGATATCACCTGCCGCAAGCACATGACTGCTGAAAGCCTCACCAAGTGCTTGGATTATTTGGGGAGCGGTCAGAAAGGCACGTTGGAACGTTAGAAAATGCTATCGTCACATATAGCAAGAGTTATCCACAGCATGCGGATACCGACCGCCCTCGGCGGTTCGTTCTCATGCATGGCTCTAGCTCTATAACACGTTCGTCTTAATTTCGGCTGAGACTGTCAAGTTTACGGCTCCTGCTATCACCCTGGAGCCTGTCAAGTAACCAGGGCTGTGTGGGTACAGTGTTTCTGATGGCAGAAATCGAGGAGTCGTACCATTTGGCTGGATGTCGAGCTTTGGACCTAGTGTGTTTACATATAACAGTAACAGATTCTTTCCCAAGATCTTGTTTGAAGCTTCAGCGCCAGTAGCATCCGACGGAAAGGAACAATGCGGAACGCATGAATAGGACATTTTCTGCTGTCTCTTAACAACCCGTGCAGTAGTGTGTGGTGTTGGATAGGGATGTGAAAGAAGCCAGTGCGAACGAACACTTGGGGGGAGCAAGGAAGAAGTACCAAGAAGTACACCGTGAACGAAAACACAGCTCTCGCGAACTCGAAAAGGGACACCATTGCTGACGCGTAGCACGATGCGGACAACACGTTGCCATCCAGGAGAAGAAGGAGGAAGGGCGGTACTATGCTTTAGGTACCCAAAAGTTCCAGACTATCGGCTGTCTGTGGGTCTAAGTTCATGCCATTTATTCGCTTGAGATAGGAGACCCAGAGACGGCATTCGGCAACCTTATCACAAATGCTCTCCTGTGTTTTTCACGCCAGCAAACTGTCAATCCCATTGGATGCGTGATGGCGTCAGTGAATTCAACTCCGCTTAAGCTCCAGTCTACGGATACACCATCGCGAATACAGTCACATGCAGAAAGTCTGGGCCCACCCCGCATTTATACCATCAACTTTTTGCACGTCACTGTACACTACACGCTGTAACCCCGGGAACGCATCGCCTCATCGATGCTGATCCTCCCGCGGTTAGGCTTGCTCGGCACAAAAATCTGCTGATGTCTTTCAACCGTCCGGGGAAAAGCAACAGAAGCTTCCATAGCGCCGACATTCCTCACGCAGTAGGTATCTCACGGAGAGAGAATTAGCATAGGACAGTGCGCAACCTCTGACTCGTCAAAAATGTTTATTGACGTTTCAAGGACATCAGACAATCCATGTTACATGTGCGAGAAAGAGCGTCTTGGCCTTTGCTTGTTTTTTTGTGTTTTTTTTTCACGGGTGGGTGTGAATCCCTCTCTCGCCGGATGATCGGCACTCTGGGTTGGTAAAGGCCGCGGCAGCGCGGGTACACGGACACGAGCTATCTACCGACCTTCCTTTCGAGGGTTAAATGCCGCGAAAACGGCCCCACTGATCGTCAATGGACCAAATAGCTACCGTAGGTGTTCCTTTCGCACCGCTCACTTGTCATCTAACAACGCCGGTGCAGAGGAGCCAACCAGGGCTCGGGTGGTTAAGCCCGCGAGCCGGTCAAAGCTTGTCTCCAGTGGGGGGTAGCGTTGCAAACGGGGTCCAATCTGAGCTTCTGCCAACCAGCGATGAATGACATGGCATACCGGTACCTCATGGAAATTCCAGGACGTCATGTTGCTTCACTTCCACGTCAAGTCGATCTCTCCAGCGTTATAACAGCTACCTAACGGCAGTGAGTGTGGCGTGTAGACGCGTTCTCCCGTTGTGGGAACACGTCACCTAGAACAATTACCCTTTTCAAATCTGTTGGCATATGGGTGATGTGGCCGGAGGCGGTGGGTCATGTGACACACCGCCTACTGGCAGAATCCCCTACCTTTGCCTATACGCAAGGGTGCTGCTACACTTGTGCTCCTACTTTACCTTGTTAACTAGTTAACTATTAATAACTATGAATTTAACTACCTTTTCTTAACCTTTATAATATTATAAGATATAGGATCCTATTAATTAGCTAGTAAAAACTAACATTAATTAATAGTTAATTATTACTAATAACTAGTAATTAATAAGGCTTACTATTGTAGGAGTTTACTTAGCCTACTATAACCTAGTAGACTACTAACTAAGTTAAGTATTATTAAGGCTACTTTACCTTTATAAGAAACACTATAGTGTCTATTACGCTATTAGAACCTCTTTAATAAGCAAGAATCTCTTTTATACTAACTATAGCGCTATTAAGAAGAGACACTTAAGTAGTAATAATTACTACTTTACTTAACTTTCCTCTTTATATTTATATTTACCCCTTTAGAAAACTATCTTTATTTACTTAATATATATAAAACTAACCTAGCACTATCTAGACTTATAAGTGTAAGTTATATTAAGAAAAAAACTTACTACTTAATTACTACTATAAAAGTTATATAGTAATTACTACTAATTAACCCTAATAACTAACCTTATAATAAGTTAACCTAGTAGTACTTTACACCCTAAGGTGTCTACCTTTATAGCAAGATATATTAACTATAAGAAGTATAGCTAAGAAATCCTTCTTAATAAGCAAGACCTTCTTACTATTTACTTTTACTTTGCCTATTATATAGCTAAATAGGCTAAATATGCCCTTATAGGTTATAAGCTCTAGAGGGACTTTTAATATTACTTTAATAGATAAAATAAAGCCCTCTTTAGTGCTACTAGTAAAACACTACTATTAATTTTTTATAACTTCCTTCTTAATTAAGGCATCTATATACCTAAAGACTATTAATAAATTACCTTATACCTTATTACTGTTGTTAATAATAATAAGTTTTATATTTAGATAAATAAAGAAGTTAAGAAAGTATAGTATAAGTTAGTAATATTTAATAGGCTTATTAAAATATATAATAGCTTCCTAAATAATATCTAATGTAGTTATATTAGCCTAGAGTAGCGTAAGTAAAAACAGTAACAGTAACCTGTTGCCTATATAACTAAATAAAGCCTAGTAATATTTATAAACCTTAAGTAATAACTAGTAATAATATAGGCCTAACTTAATAAATAAGTATAGAAGTTATATTAGTAAGAGCAGTAAACCTTAGTATTACTACAGTAGACTTAATCTATATAAGATTTACTGCTTCTTCTATATAATGTAATATAGGGACTATCTTAACAAGGTAATAGTTTATTATCTTTCTCTGCCTATTATTAATTATAGTAGGGACCTTTTACTTACTTATATACTAATCCTATAGAACCCTAAGGTATAAGATAACTACTGCTAATTAAGAATAACGCTATTAGTAACTATCTTTCTCCTTAGTAATTAGGTACCTTAACTAAGATTATTACTAATAAATCTAAGTATACTAGTAAGATATATAATATACTTAACGTTAAGTTAAACTTATTCTATAATAACTATAGTAAAATTAGTATTAAGAGACACTAAATAGTATTAGCCTTCTTGTTAATACTTAAAGGCAAGGCTTTTACCTTTTATTTTACTTAAATTAGTAGTAGGAATATCTAAGACTTTACTACTATAGTTACCTAAATAAGAGCTTACTTTAAGAGCCCTAAAGCTATTTAAATGTACTTTACTAAGTAGCAAGATACTACCTTTTACTACGTTATATATAATAACCCTAAGAAAAGTAAGCTTAAAGTACTTAAGAAGCTTGTTAATAAACTTACTTTTATCTAATAAGTGCTACCTAACAGCTACTATAATAATAAAGTCCTTTAATCCTAGCTATTAAATACTTACTCTAGAGTTTATAAGTGTAAATTATACCTATTTAATCTAGCGCCTATATTAGAAGGAGTCTATAACTAACTATAGTTATTAGTAAGTACTATAATAAAATATAACAACAAGGTTAGCTAGTACTAGGTAGACCTTAATAATTAATACTAGGTTAACTACACCTACTGTAGCTAAGGGCGTAACTAGTAGTTTAGTAATAACTATAGTAATAGTAACTATTATAGTAATAATAATAGTAACTATAATACTAAGAAGTACTATATCTACTATAAGCCTAGTTGTTAGTTAATAAAATATACTACTAATAAGTAACATAAGGTATATTAATAATTTAAAAATAACTACTAGGTAAAAGACTTTTTACTAACTATATATTAAACCTTTCTTGCTAGCTATAAAGGTAGTTACCTATAGGAAGAAGAAGGTAATAAAGATAATAATAAAGACCTTAGTTACTACCTTTAAGGCAACTATATACTTAAAAGCAGTAAAAATAAACTAGAAGGTAATACCTTTTATACCTCTACTACGTTCTTTAGTAGTACTACCTTTAGTAGTAACAAGCTTACCTTTAGCCTAGCTAACTAAGCTATCTATTACTAGTTAATAAAGAATAACCCTAGTGTAGTATTATTAGATCTAGCTACCTCTTTTATATTAGATTATTACTTATTAGGCACCTTTTAAGGTATTTTACTTAATATAGGCGTAGTGACCTTTTCTACTACTAGTTACCTATAAGTAACTACGTTATAGTAGATCTAACTATTAGTAAACATTAATATAGCTACTGCTAGCTAAGTAAAGATCTAGTTTAGTAGTAGTAACACTATTTACTTAAAGGGAACTATAATAGTTACTACACTATTTAGGCCTATTACTTTTTATATAATACCTATAAATATACCCTTCTTGCTTTACCTAGTAGATATAAATTAACTACTTATTTACTTTAATAACCTTATAAACACCCTTTAATAAGGTAATATTATAGTACTAGTTATATAAAAATAAAGGCATCTATAGATACTCCTTAGCCTACCTAAATATAGCTTTACTAGTTACTACCTAACTAATATAAAGTTATAGTAACTTTACTAACGATTTAGGCACCTATTAGTCTACTGTCTTTATAAAGTCCTTTATAAGGCTAGTTATAAGGTTAAGGTTAAGGCTATTAAGCACTTAACTAAATACTACTATTACTACTAGCTCTATAAGAAGGCACCTTTATAATTTAAATTTACCCTATATAATAACTACTCTTTTAACTACAAGGTTATTATTAACGTTATATACCTTAAAGGTAACTAACTAGTTCTTTATATTATTAATACTATAACTACCTTTAATATAGTATACTTTCTTTATAATATTTCTATAAAGACTATATAGGAGGCACTTTATTACTACTAGATTAATATCTACTAAGGACCTCTAGACTAGATTATTACTAACGTAGGCAGGAACTTTACTATAACTAAATTTTTATATAAAGCCTATATAATAGGCGTTAAAGTTAAGATTATCCTTATTAAGGTATACTATAGCGTTAAAAAGGTTAAATAATACTATATAGTACTCTAATAGGCCTATAAAATTATACGCAAAGAGTACCTAACTACTAACTATAAATTTATCCTTTAAAGTGTAGTTAAGGTAGTTAATAACACTATAGGCCCTAATAGCCTTATACTAACCCTCTTAGTATTTAGCGCTTACCCCTGTATAACTACTAACTTTACCCTTTTACCTAATATTATCTAATAGGCAGCTACTATCTAGAAGGCTACTAATAACCTCTACAAGAGCTATATAATACACTAAGTTTATAAGGCACTTAAGGTATATAATAGCCTAGATACTTCTACTATTAAGGACCTACTATTAGGCAGTAAAGTATAAGTATAGTGTAAAAAGGGCAGATAGTTTAGCCTATACTGCCTACTATTTATTAACAGTAAAATTACACTATTAATATTAATAGCCTATATAACTTCTATTCTACCTTAGTTAAACCCTACTATACTAAGAAGGAAATAGGTAAGCCTACTAACGTAAATCCTTACCTTAATTAACCTATAGATACTAACTACACTAGTAAATATATAGAGGATACTATTGTTGTTACTATAAAGACAGAAGCACCTGTCTAAACTATAGCCTCTCCTCCTCTGTAGTGTACCTATAGGTAACTACATAAGACTTTAGTTAATATACTACTATAGAAAACAGATAAACCTCCCCTTACTACTTTCTTCTCTACTAAAGAAGAAGCTAACCTAGCCCTTATATAATAACTATATAACTAAGGCATTATTACTATACCTAGTAAGCCCTTTAAACAGTTAGGCAAAAGTAAAATCTAAGGCCTTATTAACTATAGCGTATTTAAGATTATTATATATATATCCTTTTATTTACTAGGGCTATATCTTTAAATTTTACCTTATTAATAAAGTTAAAAGTAAAAATAATAAGCTATATAAGAAATTATAACTTAT